ACAAATTTACAGAATTTTTTCAAATAAATTTAAAAAGTTTTTTGAAAGAAATTTAGAAAACTTTTTCAAACAAACAAATTTTTACGCGCAAGAAAATTTAATTTTAATATTTGTATTTTAACAAATTTAAAAAAAAATTTAAAAACAAATGCACAAAAATTTTTTCAAAACAACAATAATTGTTTTACAAATTTAATTTTTTTTTTAGATTTTTTCTCTTTTATATAATTTACACTTGACGTATTTATTTACTCACAGTAACTAGTAGTAGTGAATGAGGGTTGAAAATCAGCTTTACCTAATAGATTTTTGATACTTTGTGGAAAATTTTTACAGCGCTGTTAGCTATTTTGACACAAACTTTCAATATTACAAATTTTTTTTAATCGTTTTTTGCAGCGCTGTAAGCATTTTTTTACAAATAACTTCAAATTAACAGTTTTGAAAATATTTTTTTATAGCTGTGTTAGTCATTTTGAAATAAATTTCGATATTATTATTTTTTAACAACGCTGTGAGCCACTTTTTATCAATTTGTTTTCAAAAACTTTTTTTTTCAACTTTTTTTTTTGCAGCGTGCTTTGCAAATTTTTTACAAATTGCTGAAGTTACTGTTTTCAAAATTTTTTTTTGCGGCGCTTTAGCAAGTTTTTACAAATTACTTTACAATTACTATTTAAAAAAAGTTTGTTTAGTGTAGTTAGTAATTTTGAAGTAAATTTGCCGTATTATTGATTTTTTTACAGCGCTGTTAGCTGTTTTGACACTTCTGTTTACTCACAATAATATTTAGCATTGCTTGCTTTGATGTGTTTATTTTTCTGCCGCCAATTTTCGACACCTTAGTAAATGTAGCATAAAAAATTATTTTTTCAAAATTAAAATTTATTTTTTCAAAATTAATTTTTATGTTTTTTTGTTTTACATAACAACCGTTTGTGGAGTTGAAGTAATTATTACTAATTTCAATTAATTTCTGCTTTATCAATTTGTGGCAATATTTTAATTTTGCAAAAATTTTTTTGCTTAATTAGAATTTGTCGCGATTTATTTACAAGCACTTGCCACCGATTTTGCATTGCTTTAACTGTTTCTGTTATTCCTATATTCGTACAAATATTCGCTTGTCTATTTTTTGTCATAAAAATATGATTTTTTGAGTTTTGATATGATTTTTTCACGCCTCATGCAATCTTTCTATAGTCATCTTTAACTGCATGAGTTGCTGTTATTTGTTTTTTGCCATAAATTAGCACTTTTTTATCAGTTGTTTATGATTTTTACTCGCTCAGCAAAATGTGTGCCAAATATGTATGTATTTTTAATGGGTTGATACAAAAATTGAACATATGAATTATTGCTGACTTCGCACTACGAAAGAAAGTACGTTTGTCTATAGTTCTGAAATGTTCGGAAATAATATAAGCTTAGTCCTCTCAAAAAACTGATTTTTGAGTTCAAAACTCAAATTTTTGTTAACGAACCATGCTTGTAGTTCTCCCAACATTCCCTGCTTCAGTTGTATACAAATTTTGTTTGGAAAAATGAACGCTTAAAGTGGCTCAGTGGTTATGCTCAGCGTCTTTCATAATCACTTAATCCTTACTGGATGGTAGTTATACTCAGTGCCTCCGCCTTCTCATAGAAACTCTGAGAACCCATATTTCATAGTCAGTTACCCTAAGCTCTCGAGCGCAAAAAAACACTTTTCATTAATTTAAGCTCTATGAGATCCAATAGCAGATAGCACGGCAACAACACTTTGAAATCGTTCATTGTTTTGTTTTTGTATTAGCCGAAGCACGAAACTGCGTTGGTCACGGTGTTTGCGCCAAATAAATCCCATTCAACTGCACAAGCCAATTGAGTTATCTTATCTTATTTCGGAGAGGATATGAAATATGACAGCAGAATGAACCGACTAATGAAGAAGGAAATGCAGTGAGCCAGTCTTTTTTCCAAAGAACTGGTTGCGAATTAACGGAAATGAGTGCAATTGACATAAAAACCAACACATAGCCTTTGGAAATGCTTGAAAATGCCAAGCGCCACGAGGAGCAGTTTACTTTTTTTTTATAAAGAATTCCTCGTTCGTTCAGCAGAAACCCGGCAGTAAGGAATCGTTTAATTTCACTGCGGGGTTCTTATGCGACTTAACAAGTGCATAAACGTGAGCTTGTGTGCATGTGGTATGTGTGTGTGTGTGTGAGAAAGAAGCTGTTCTCAAAGGACGAAACGTGACTGACATGCTGATGTCATTGCTGGTAGACAAATGCACACATCCATACACAAATAAGCAATTGTGCCGTCAGCGAAATGCTGCTGCAACATTTATTTTTCTCAGTGTTTTGTTTTTATTTTTCAGCGAAAGCACTCATTCTTTATTTCTTCAACACTTGGCTGCGATTGTTACTTTTTTAGTAGTTTTATTTGTTTTTATTTTTTCTCACTGGCTCTTGAATGCTGCACACGCACCGGAAGGCCTGCACGTGTGTGTGTGTGTGAGTGTGTGCGCGCCAGAAAATCAGCGTGTGTCGCCAGTCGGCCAGTGGTTACTACTTTCCAGTCGGCAGGACTATTGGCATCCGCACAACACACGCGCATGCCGACAAACACACACACACGGTCTGTTGTTGCTGAAGTATGTGTGTGTCTCCAGTGGAGTATTTTTAAGGATTATGTCTTGCCATGATACCATCGTTAAATTGCGACTGTGAACGTGTGCTTAGAATTTTTGATCGCTGATAATTTGTATGATATGCTGGCGATGGCGAGCAAAGGCAAAAGAAACAACGAAAAAGGGAAGGAAAAACAGACGGGATTGTTAGAGATTTGACGGTTCTTATGGGTGCAATTTAAAGTGGATTGTTGTGCACGGCAGGCATACAAAAAGGTTAAGGCAACAACAAGAATGCAATCGAAAAAAAAAAAAAACGAAAACAACTTTATATGCCTTTGGCCGTATAAGCACGTCGCAATGCTGAAAGTATCCGTGTCAGTTCCCGGTAAGTACTCAGTACTCGGCATATGGTGGCTACCAAGTTAATAAATATTTATATGCGTCGATTTGTAGGGAAAGAGGTTCCAGGAAAATTTTGCGTTAGAAAAATTCTCCAAAACAGAGAAAAAATTAACTACTGACGAGCGTGTTCATAAAGTTGTAAATACTTGTCACTAAAAAGGCGCTGTCGCCTTGCCTCTCGGAACTCATAAATAAGTCATTGCAGTCTAGAGATCTTTATAAATTGCTGTGCCCAATCAATAAGTAGAACAACTTATTTGACTCACTGCAATTGCTCTGCCACTTGAGCTGCCGTCAGGCTCAAAGTGTGTGAAATAGATTTGTATGTAAATAACTGTTAATTGCTTCGTTAATATACGAAAACATGTGCGCTCGGTTTTCAAGTGTTTTGTGAGGCAGCTGCAGCTGTTGCATGTCTCGTTGCGAAACGGCTTGGGACAACTTACACTATTTGCAAATAGTTTCTTTGAAATTGGCCAGCATATCTGAGAGAAAGAGAGAGCATATATGAGAGAGAGAGAGAGAGGTTAACTGATAGTCTCAAAGGCGGTTTTTGGAGCAAATTCTAAATTTTTTACATTTTTTTTGGATTTCTAATAATATGGTAATATTCCGCCCAACATTGGACATAAGGTAAATCTGAGAGGCTCTATACACCGAAAAATACTGGTAGATTTGATCCCCAGACCCCCGAAGCAAGAGTGTGAGACAACAGACCATTTAGTCACATGAGATATTCAAAAAGGATAACTTGGGTCTAAGCAGGTTCCAAAACTACTTTCAGTAGGAATGAATTTCACTCGCTTGGGCCGTAACTCTTTCGGAGTGCGTTTGCAATCTTTCACTGATATTTCTTCAAAGCGAACCTAGATTCTCACTCGATCTACATTAGGTCAAAATAACTACTTTATCGCAACATCAAGGTCCTCAGAATTTCGTTTAATATTTACAAACAGGAGCGTTTCATAAACCAGCTTGCTTTACTTGACTCAGCGTTGTGCACCGAAATTTCACCGCGCACTGCGCCGACACATGCCCACCGCTGGCGCGCTCAATGCCATATCCAATCATTCTTTAATTGCTCCGAGCTGCACGATTTCGTCCAGACAAATTCGGTGGCCTCCACTTCGCGCTGTTGCCGCTGCAACTGCTGTTGGTGCTGTTGCTGTTGTTGCCGCTGATAATGGTCGCGATACGGATGCACCGGTAGCAACGTCATGGCGCCGCTCAACGTCGCGGGCATACGACTTTTGTACGCTTGCACTCAGCTGGCCACCACGATTGTTGCATTCGGCCAGCGACATGAGGACTCGTCACACATTTCGCCAGCGCCGCGCCGGCTCATGCCCACACCGGCACCAACCACACCCGCGCCGAAGCCAACTGTCACACCATCGGACACATTGTAGGCCGCTTGCTGCTGGTCCTGTCGTTGTTGTTGTTGCTGATGGTGGTGCTGCAACGGCTGGTGTTGCAGTTGCAGCGTGCGTGACTTATTGTTGTTCACCACCGCCACCGGTAGGGTTGGCGTGTCGGACAGCGATGACAGCGACGAGCTGTGTTGGCGTTGATGTTGCAGCTGCAATTGCAGCTCCTGCGGTTGATGGTATTCGTGCTCGTATTCGTAATCGGGCGCACGCTGATGACCGCTGATGCTGCGGTGTAGCGACGCTTGATGTTGTTGATATGGATGGTGGTAGTATTGTTGCTGCTGCTGTTGCTGTTGTTGGTGTGGCAGCTGTGGCGGCTGTGTGGCATTCGGCGTGACCGCGTTCGAATGCAGGGGTCCCGCTGATGCGCCCATTGCGGTCATTGTGGTCAGCGACGAGGCGGCCGACAGCGATGGCTGCTGCAAGCCGCGCACACTATCCGCTGGATGCGCTGTATAAATATTGCTGCGGCGCAAATGATTGTTGTTGTTGCTGCCGTTGGTGCGCTTGTTGCGTGACCACCATTGCACATGCGTCTCTGTGTGTGTGTGTGTGTTGAGGGGGGTTTACAGCGTGCACAAAGGCAATACACACACAGACGTGCCATGAAGCGAAGTGTAGTGAAGAGAAGAAAGGGGGGAGAAGAGAGTTATTGTAGTTTCAGTCAACTAAATGCATTAAATTTTCGGTTTTTCGGTTAATTCAATTTCGTTTTCGTTAAGTTTTGGGTTTGTGTGGTTTTAATTTTGAATTTTTGGGAGGAGGTGAGCACGCGCTCAGAATTTCTCAGTGCTGCACGCAGCCACCATAACCGCCGCTTCAACTATGGGCATATCGGCTTCTTCGACCGGTGACGCGTCTATCTCCAGCGTCGTCGGCTCTTCGTAAGCCACCGACGATTCGGCATAACTGTCACTGCAAATGCTCTCATCATCGCCCCTTCTACTACTGCCACTACCACTACTACCACTGTGACTAGCAATGCTACTACAACTCCTTCGCTCGATCACCGCATCGTGGTGCGCCTCCGTTGGTGGTGATGGGGGCGGTGGTAGCGAACGCGTAAACATGTCAATGCGTTGTTTTAGCAATTTTTGCTTTTGCGCCGCCTTGGTTAATGCCACTGTGCCAGCGTGCACCGTAGCGCTGCTGTAATAGCTTGGTGGCCGATATATGGTCGACAGGCTGGTGCGTTGCGTGCTCTGGCTGTCATTCGTCAGCGACGACGAAGAGCAACTATTGCTCACATAATGCATTGGCAGCGGCTGAGGTAGTCGCTTGTGTTGTTGTTGGTGTATTTGTTGTTGTTGTTGCTGTTGTTGGTGATGATGGTGTGTTGTCATGGCGTTATGGTGGCTAGACAACGACGGATACTGTGCGTGTAGGTTACGGTAGGCAGTGGGATACAAATGTCGGTGGTGTTCGTGTACATATTGGTTGAGGTTTTGGTTGTGTTGGTGTTGGTATGGATAATGATGGTTAAGGTGTTGGTTATATTGTAGTTGTTGGTTATTGTGATGATGGTGGTGGTGGTGTTGTTGGATATAGGGTGTCGGATCGTCGTCAGCAAGTTTAGTACACTTACCGTTACGGTTGTTCGTTGGTTTTTTCCTGCAAGCGAGAGAAGAGCAGAAAAGTGCGGTTAGAGAGAGGGCATAATGGGAGTAGAAATAGTGTTCTAGGAGTAAGCTTAAGCTATGTTAGCATGTTTCTGTTCATGAATTTATTATTTTTCCAAGAGTTGCAAGCGAAGTTTAAGTTAGTGTACCTGAATATAAGCAAAATGTATTTTTTTCTAAGCAGAGGACTACTAAAAATGATTTTTATCTCTTTAAGCGCGGAAATATTGCTCAAGATCTTCGAGGAAACTATCTGGTATCTGGAAAATTCTCATTTTAGCATCTTAAGCACTGCGCTTCATGGATTATTTTTTAGTATAAAACCGGTTGATGTAAAAAAAATAAAAATTTTAAATTTCGAAAAATGAAAAGGTATTCGCTATAACCATTTTTTGCAGGTCAAAATGCAAACCTTCTTCATTTAAATATATAAAAAAGGTCAATTAAACTTACAATCTATCATCCAGGTATCCTTTTTTCTTTTGAAACCCTATAGCCTGCAGAAGGTTAATTCGTGCAATTATCCTTTCGCTTGCATATATTTTATTTGAGGTTATGTCTATACATATATATCCTATTTTCATATTTCACAGAGGGTTGCCACTCTTCCATTTATAATTGGTATCACATTTCTCAAATAATCCTCACTTAATTGGTTTCGAAACCCATTCCTTTTTGTAAACAGGGGTAGATAGTTTAATAGCATATATGCTCATGAATGAAATGCAGTCACCCCAAAAGGACTAATATCATAATTCAGTCACGAATATTTATACTTTATAAAAGGCAGTATACTGTAATGTGCAATTGTAATTGAACTCACCTTCTGCAGCGCACAACCGTCACCATGACAATCGCTCCCAGCAATGCTGACAGCACCGAAACGATAATCAGCGTCAAGGGCCAGCCCAATTCGGAAGCTTTTTCTGCAAGCGAAATAGGAAAAAAGAAGAGTAGAACATAAGCGGAAATTAGTTATGGTATACCATATCCGGCGGAAAGCAGAGATAACCAAATCCTTTACGAGCTTTCATGCCAAATGCATGGCCAAAATGTTTAAAGGGCTAACATTTTCACACACGCATACATACCAACAAGCAGGCAAACGCAAGCAAACGTCACATCGAAAACCAATCCCATACACCTGGTTGTGTGTGTGTGAGCTTCGCAAATCGATTTATATATACATATATATATATTAATTCAAAGTTCCCGGGAAATGCCGGTTGCACGTAAAGCCTTTAGCTGTCTCCGTTTTTCGCAAATGCGCTGACAACAGCAATCCCGATTTTGCATACCTTAATACATTTGCATAGATAATGATTGCAAAGCTCACGCACAAAAACAAATGTGAAAGGTTTTTTAAATTCACACACACACATATATATATATACACAAACAGAAGCAACGTGTCGAAGCCTTCACATCTGTCTCTTATACACATCTAGATGTGTATAAGAGACAGCCTTAATACATTTGCATAGATAATGATTGCAAAGCTCACGCACAAAAACAAATGTGAAAGGTTTTTTAAATTCACACACACACATATATATATATACACAAACAGAAGCAACGTGTCGAAGCCTTCACATACAAGGCTGCCTACTCACACATATCTCTCACTCGACACAAGCAATTTCATTTAATGACAGTATACTTTTACTCCCAAGCACACAGCCACAAGCACACACACAAACCTACACAGCTACTTACAAACACACTCAGTAACCTATCTATCCATCCATTTACCCACCCACTTTACTCACCTATTGTACCCTCGAACATGAATGTACTCTTCGTTGGCATGGCCCATGAGCACAAATCACACGTTGTCAGTCCATCACTCAGCACCGGCTCATCGACTAGGAATGGCGGACGGGGTGGTGGCGGCACGAAACGGCCATTCCACAAGCCATTATCGGAAGCATCAAATGCCAATGGAGAGCCAAACAAATCGTCATCGTCGTCGAATATATCGAAGGACACATCACGAAAATTGCTCAAATCCTCAGCTGAACTTGCGACAAGATTCTCTATACTCGGCGGCCGGAAGCTTGGATATGTGACAGCAGCACCACGATTGCTAATACCACTACTGCTACTACTGCTGATAGTGCTGCTGCTGGTGAGTGTGTTGGTGGTGGTGGTGGTGGCATTTGTGACGGCATCGATGGCAGGCAGAAAATTGGTTAGCAACTTATTGGCGAGGCGGCTGGGCAGCGCGGCAGCGGTGGCGGCAGTTAGATCAACATTTACGCCTACTCTACTTCCACCTCCGGTGTCCGTATCGACATCTGGTTGCAGTCGTCGCTCCAAAGCATCCGGCTGTTGAGTTGATATGCTATTGTGGTTGTAGCTGGCGATGCCGGCTGTTGCCGTTGCTGTTGTTGTAGTGGTTGTGGACGATGTTGTCGCAGCTGCTGCTGCTGCTGCTGCCGCTGCGACTGTGGCTGCGGATGTAAGCAGTGAGGCGGCTGCTGTCGCTGCGGCAAGCACTGTCGCTCTGATTGGCCGTAGGCAACGGGTGGGCGCGGGTCTTGTCGCTTCACTTGTTATGGCAGGCATTTTATTTACTTTTTGTTTGCACGTTGCTAGTCCTTTATTATTTTTATTTAATTTTTCCTTTTTTCTTGGTTTGTTGTTGCCTCTAAGGGGTTTTTAAGCCTTTATCTAAGCTTTCTTCTATGTGTTTGTGTGTGTATAAGCGTAGTAACTTTTGTTTTGCTTTCTAGTTTCTTTATTGCTTGGCAGAGGATTAGTTGGCATTCAATTCACAGGATGTGCCTGCGCTTATGCTCAACTTAAAATGTGTACTTTAGTGAGATTGAAACCGTTTTTCCCATTCGACACACCAGCACCGTATGTGCCCCGCTTATTTTAGGTTTTCTGCCACTACAGTGCAACTTTTTATGGCACGAGTGTATACTTTGTAGTTTTCTCTGTGCAATATTTTATACGATTATCACTTTGTGTGCAGGAATTTTCAACACAATCTGATGTGCCGACACATTTCTACGCTTTTTTGAGCTTTTTTGATTTTCTTTTTGTTGCAATTTTCCGACTCTCAGTATTCTTTCGCTTTGATTATTATCCTTATCGTCTGCTGTTGTCACATGTGATTGAAGTCAATTGCAGTAACTAAAGCCGAGCTGTAACGAAAAGAAAGGAAACGTAAGGAAATGAGTGAAAGAGATTAAAAATGTGTTTAATGTAGTTCTCGTTTTTGTCTAGGTTTTATTGCCACTAAAGGACAAACGTTGAACTTCATGTCCAATGAACGGAGAGAGTGTTAACTGTCACAAAATATATGTATGTGTGTGTGTGCGAAATGTGTTGCAATCTGTTAAATAAGCCAATAAAAAGTACTTTTCTTAATTGAAACTCAGCGCTTGAATGGGATGTGCAAGCTGGTTATGTGTAATTTAGCGCACAGTTGTAAAGAGATTTGTTCACGATATAAAGGTCAACAGTCATTGGTTGTCAAATTGCTGGAGTTTAGCAGTTGCTGTTGTCGAGTTTGTATTTAGCGCAATTATTGAGTGTTTATGCGGAGAATTTGAGAATCGAATTTCAGTTTAAAACTTTCAAACATGATGCAGTGAATGCTTGAATGTTTAAGAAAACCTATATAAGAGTTTCGAGCCAACCCATGGCTTCAAACACGTATGCTATAACCATAAACCCTCAGAAAACAGTTTTTATTTAAAAAGTGTTTAAGGCAAACTCCGTCTTTATGAAGGGTGTTTAACGTTTAAGTTCAAAAATCTAAAAATATCAAGTTTGGGATTAAAACAGAAGNGTTTTGGCATTTTAGGTGATGATACGTATCATTTACTAAAGAATTTAATAAATACAGATGACAAATATTTGAACAAGTGTTTGCATATCAGAACTGCTTATTTTTTGATAGAAACCACAAAAAAAAATTGTGAAAATTCGTTGTTTAACCACTTATAAAATCAGTTGAGTAGTGAAACATATTTATTCACTTGAAAGAGAGAGTTGGTGGAACGATATTTTCATAACATTAATAAGTTGAAAACTCCGAATTTCTATAGTAAAAAAAATGATGGCTAATTTTCTGAGCTGTAATTTAATTAAGAACACAAGTACTAGAAAATATAAGCAGGCATAACATATTTATATACTTACTATATGAACACATAGTTCCCAAAAGATTAAAAATTAATTCCAAACTAACTAACAGTCATATAGAACAAAAAACTTTGCTTATATTTTTATTTTATTTTATGCATTAATTTAAAGATTCTAACAAGTTTATACAAACGTAAAAGCTCATTAAAGCTACTATTCACAAATTAGAGTTGAAAGCGCCTTCGCATATGCTACACTTGTAATAGAAAATGTTATTAAAATCACTTTTCTCAAAATACTAATATTTCCCATGAATGAAACAGCAAAAACACAATCAAATCAAATCCAAACAAAAGTGCCAACAATCAGCACTCCATCCAATTCATCAGTCAAACTTTACGTAATTAAGTCAATTAAAAACACTTGAGTTCAAAAACTGTTGACATTTATGGGAGTTGTTGCGTAGTTTTGAATCATGAACTTGAAGGCGGCAACCAATTCAATGACCAAATCAACTGAGCCGGCTCGCTTGCCTGGTAATTTATACCATTATTAAATTTCATTACAGATTGATGTTGCTGTAGTGCTCTCCGCACCCACTTCTATGGTCCGTGCTGCTTTGAATAGCATATAATTGTATATTAAATTTTCAACTCCAGCCATATTGCCACACAACCCCACCCTCGACAGGCAGTATAGTAAATTTGACAGTCAACTTGAATGGTCGGATTGATTTCAACTTTAGCCTCCGCAGTAAACACAAACACAACAACCCACTCAGAGACGCCTGCGGGGCACACTTTGACACTCGACTTGAAGCCAGGAGCAGCAGCAGCAGCAGCAGCTAGCACTCATTAGGGCATTAGAAAGTTTTTGGCGCAATAACAAAGCATTACTTTTAATTAACTTAAATATTGTGCAAGGCAACAAATGTAATTAGTGCAAGAAGCGTCGTAAAAAGAAATTCACTTTAATGGTGTGAGTGGCATATGCTGCGAAATTTAAAAAGTTAGTGTGGCGTAAAAAGTTTTCCTATTAAGTTGGCGTTGTACATGCACATAAATTGGCATTTAATGAAATTAATGCGGACAAATGAAATTTAGTGAAATCGAATATGTATTTAATTGAAAATTTAATGGACTTTAGTAGCAATGTGCTGAAGTTGATGGTTGAAGTATTACCGGAGAGGGCTCTTATTTGAACACTTGGCATAGAAGTGCTTTGTGATACCAAGAGATGTTAAATATAGATCAAAATGGTCTCATTATTGACTAATATATTTAAGCTTATCATATCTGCTAAAATTGCTGATATTGAGCTCAGCTTAGTGGCCTTTGGACTGAATGTAAATATAATATTCATGAGTCTGGCGAACGCTGTATTTAGGAAAAGTAAACAGCCGCTAAGAAGCTATTGAGGTGTTATCATCACCCCTATTGCAGTTAGTATTATATCGGAATTTTTATGGCCTCCAAAGAAGTGCTGTAACATGACTGAATGCTCTCTACAATTCCTAGGAAAAATACAAGAACTTTAAACTATTTCATAGACACCAAAATTTCTGAAACTATGTTTTAATGTGTGACAAGATATTTTTCGTAAAAACACTTAATTTAAAAAAAAGGTACTTTTGTATAAAAAAAATTGTGTTAAAACAAAAAATTATTAAAACAAAAAAATTATATTAAAAAAAAGCACTTTTATATAAAAAGTGTTTAAGCTTAACTCCGAGTTTGTAAACTGGGTTTAACATTAAGCACATAAAAGACTGAAATTTAGTGCCATTTTAAAATGTTCGACAAGTAGTTTAAATTATTACTAAAGTATTTAATAGTCGAGTTAAATAAACTCGAGTTTATGGCTCATTTAAATACACTATTGGAGAAGTGTAGTCTCTTGGCTTGATTTTAAGAACTTATAGTAGGTAAAGTGTTTAACGTTAAATATCTAAATAAACTCGAGTTTATGGTGGATTTTAAATAAATTGAAAGCATATTAGCTTGGTCTTCAAATTTTACTATGACATAATGGGTTTAACGCTCAACACTTAAATAACTCGAGTTTGTGACGCATTCAAAAAGTGCATTGTTGATTTTTGTATAATTTTATAAGTAGAGAATTATTAAGCAACGTTTTTAACTCTTAGCGCCTACTTAAACTCGACTTTATGATTCATTTACACTAAATTTTACTTGAATTTCTAGTTGTTTTTATAAATTTGAAGTGAACAATTTAGACATAAAATTTTTAATAGTAAACACCTTAACAAACTCGAGTTCACATACATTTAGCTCACATGCACTTAACGTAAATCTCATTTGCTAGAGTTTCTGGTTGGTTTTATGCATTTAAGATAAAAAATTTATACAGAAAATTTCTAACTCTTAACACCTAAATTTACTCGAGTTTATTACAAATTTAAATTTAGTGTGAATCGAGTATACTTGCAATTTTAGGTGCTTTATAAACATTGAAGTAAAGTGTTTAACGCTAAACACCAAAATGAACTTGAGTTTATGTCTCATTTAATTTTTCTATTTAGCAAGTATACTTGATTTTAGTGATTTAGTAGCTTGCTAAATTTGTAAAAAAAAAAAAAATTAGAAGAAAATAATTTACAAAAAATATTGTAAAAGAGTTGCTTCTTCATTAGCACGAAAAACGCTTGAAATATATAAGTTCAATGCCCTGTCAAAACCCAGAGCCAGAAAGACTTGTTACAAATAATAGTGTATGTAGCGAAGATACACAGAACAGCATGAAAAATTGATTATTGCTACAAATTTTGCTCCTGCAATACATGTATATACTACAAATAACTAATTAAAATTTCCTCGCCCTTCAATTCGAAGATCTCTATTATATTTCAAAGGTACCCATGCCAAGTATGCACTGACGACACGCTGCGGCTTTTAGCTCCAGCTCCTGACACCGCAGGAAGCCAAACAGCAAATAAGACACATACATATGTATTTCATTCTTAGCCATGAGTACAACATATGATTACAAATGAATAAAATCGAATACAACATGCATCCCCTAATGACTAATATGATACTTAAAAGCATCTCAGAAATCGAATTTGACAGACATGCTGCTTTGTGCGGATTTTCCAATGAACAAATCCATAATTTGAACATTGAATGCCCGATTAGTAAGTAAAGCGTAAACTACATGTTTAACGATTATTTTTTGACAGAATTTGGGATGCCAATCACCTGGCTGATATGCAGACCGGCATAACACACACACACGCATACACATGCATGCAGTTCGAACACATTGTGTGAAGCAGAATGTAGCAATTCTATCGATTTTTGAAAACCGACATCTGACTGAACACGGAATTCGCCTTTCTTAACCATGGAATGTCGCCTGTCAGTGATGAGCGCGCAACAAACAGTCGCCGGTGTATGTATGCGTGTGTTTGTGTGTAGTGCTGCACTTCAATCCAATTGATATTTTTGACAGTTTGACAGAAACGACGGTTCTACGGATTATTTAAATATCAATACAAATATGTATGAAGAGGCGACAGTTGCTTGTGTGCGTGTATTGGTGTGTCGAATACAAGTTGATATGGGGGTAGGTAACTGACGCAGTAGAAACAAGGCGTTTTAAGGATGCAAGAAAAATCAATGGTTTTAAATTTTTACGTGTGATTTCAGCGAGCGAAAGGTGATATTACAACGATTTGTTTAGAATTTCGGAAAATTAATTCTAAAAATTTCGAAATATAGAATTTTTTCCATTTTAATATTTGATATTTATGAAAATATTTATAGAAAGACAAGTATGTAATATTAGTATTTGTTAGAAAATTTCTTAATATGTGCCACATGTCTTCATGGTTTTCTAAAAACTTTATGCTACCAAAGATTTTTTAAGGAATAGATAGATAGAAAGTAATTGAGGTTTTGCACTGCGACCTATGGTCTGTATCACATATGGTCATAAGAGTCCAACATTCTGAACAATTACAAAAGCTTGTTGGGCAATTTAGAATCAGTTGTTCTGTAGTTTCTAGTTCCATATCGCTAAACTGCCATTTATC